AACATCAGAAACATTTTTTTTTTCCCTTTATGTCGCTGCCAAAATTATGTATGCGCACGTGTGTATTACATTACATATTTTAACTCATGAACTCATTTCGAAAAACAGTACAATGTTCATCTAAATTAATGAACTTTCTTCGTTTAAATTAAAAGTTGTAGAGTCCAGTAGGTATTTTATTTCTGAGCAGTAGATGTGAAAAATGCGCAGAGTCCTCGCCAGGACTCGAACTCCGGACCTTTCTGTTGCTAGTCCAAACACATGAGGGCTCGCGGTAAGAAGGGAGAAAAATCTTATACAATGTATCTATCATCTTGATTTTTGACCTTGTAATGCGTGTATGCTAATGCAGAAGTTTAAAATATGTCACTTTCAAGCACTGCATATCAAAAATAACAATTAAAATTAGTTCATCAATTAAAGTTGCTCACTTTAGGAAATGCGTCCGATTTTGTGATTGTATCAGCATTCTCATTTTAGAAGAGCTCCAATATTAACGCTAAAAAGACATTTAAAATGTCAAATGAGATATTAAATTTTGTGCCTCAATCTACATAAAAATTTTCGTTTTTAAATTTAATACATCTTCAAGAAATAGTCATTACTGCGTAGAAGCTTTCTAAGAATAGACGTGGTTTGCATAATGGGAGGATATGGTTAAAAATTTTCTATATCTTACAAAGACGCCACCTGATATTTTAAAAGGCTTCTGCTATTTTCTAAAGAATTCATCCTAATCCAGAACTCCATAGAAATGTATTATACCTTTGACAATGTCTAAATCTACAATGCATTTCCAAAGAAAGGATTTCCGAAATTTTACCTTTAAAACTAATTTTGAATTTTTCTAACTAATGATTTTTAAAGTAGAAATAATTTTTAAATAATCCAACGCGTATTTATTGTCCAAAAATAACACCTCTGATAGCATCAGAAATTCTTATCTGTCAATGATAGTCTGTCAGTCCTCAAACGGGAAATTAGAAGCATCAAATTGCGTTTCAATTCGCAATTGAGTTTTAGTACGAAAAGAAATATTCAAGCTTTGACTAAAGATGTTTGTGACAGCTTCATTACGACAGTTGAGGTTTTCAACATCTATTTTCGGAAAACGGCTGCGCGAGAACAAAATAAGTTACACAACTTCAATGAAGATGAAGTCGTATTTACTAAATGTATACTATATAAAAGGAGATCTAATTATCATGCTTTGTCCCGAAATAGAAGCATTTAAGAGAAAATGTTACGTTCACAGTCTCTGATAGCATCAGAATTTCTTACGCGTCAATAAGTTCTGTCAGTGTCTTCCTCAAACGGGAAATAAGGAACGTCGAATTGCGTTTCAATACGCATTTCCGTTTTAATACGGGAAAAAAAATATTCAGGGTTTGGCTAAAGATCTTTGACCGCTTCGTTACGACAGTTGAAGTTTTCAACATTTATTTTCAGGAAACGGTTGCGCTGAGGACAAAATAAGCTGCATAGCTTCATTGAAGATGAAGTCGCATTCATTAAATATATACTATACAAAACGAGTCACGCATTGTCCTGATGCATCAGACGTATCATGCATTGTCCTGAAATAATAGCATTTAAGAGAAAATGTTATGTTCACTATCAGTCTACGTAAATATCAATTATATAAATGAGCTACTTAGTGTTAAGAAAATTCTTTGTAATACATGTACTGATAAAATTAAAAGGTTAAATTTACAAATAGATTTTTTGTACACATTTTAATCCATTTAATTCAATGCATCGTGAATAAAAAAGAAAAAAATTAATGCGAAATCTTCAGATTTCCGTACAGTTTACAGCGTAAGAAAAATGACAGTAGGGTCTAACTAATAACTCTCTATTATACGAGATATACCTAATATGCTGAAATTCCAACTCACTGCTTGATTTTCGTAGTTCTATAAGTGACATTCCTCTCTTATTAATATTAGAAGCTAAAAGCAAAAAACCTTATTGCTGGGCATCGTGAACATCGTTGAGCTAGATCTCTAGAGTTGTAAAAGTCAACTATAAATTTAAAAGCAACAAAGTATTTAAAACTCTGAAGAAAAATTCAGATGCTTTCAGGAAAATACAGAAAGTGTAAGGGAATTTTCATAGCATATGAACCAGAATTGCTTTGAAAGAATGCTGAAGCATCCACATACCCTGGTTGCATAGCTGTTTAAATACTTTAATTCACTACTGTTTGGCTACTAGCTTTACTTCATTCACAATGAAAACTGCTGCGAAATATTTTACATAAATTTCTAACTTTCATTATACGTAAAATATTGTAGTCCTTCATTTAACGCAATATTAAATTTAATTCTGTCAGTGAGTAGCTGCTAAACACAGGTACTTGAATTTTAAAAGTATTACTCATAGTCTTATTTCCAGGTCGATTTCCAAGACAAAAGTGAAATCTGAGCATACAATTTCCTGAACTTTGCAAAGATACTTAATTTACAAAAATCTGATTCTTAAGTTCCTCTTCTACAGCGAATGAAACGTCCATTTAATAAATTTCAAACAGTTATCTACATTAAACGAAGACTTTAAATTTATATAATTTATTATAGTATAGCTTATTTCCAATAAACCTTTACATTAAGTATGCTGGGTTATGATCAACCCATTCTGTGTCTAACCTTTCAAACGAGATAACCTTTGAGAACATTTAAGAATCTTAGAAACAGGACTAAGAAAAAGAAACTGACTAGTAGACACTTTCTTATTTAGAAACTGATTTTTAGTAGACACTTTCCATTTTTCTCCTCTCGTTAAGCCACTCACGATGTGTTACGCTACCAGGGCATTTATCACCCACGCGGCTTGGGATGTGTTGCCATTGCATAAGAAAAATATCTTTAATTCGTCATTATCATAACCTGGTAAATTACCGGTTCTTAGAGTTGCTAACTGATTCGACGTAAATTCTTTAATTTATTTTTCGTATTAAAATAGAGATCTCTTAATGATTTCAAAGCAGTGCAAATACTTCTTCATATAAGATAATAATACATATTTGAATTTTAATTTTTAATTATATACTTAACAGATGACATTTATAATACAACTAATTCATGTGGTTTATAAAATACTCAAATAGTAATTTTTAAAAAATGCTGCACCGTTACTGTCATTTATGGACCATGTTTCCAATGTCATATATTAAGTATCTCGATAAAGAATAAACTTTTATCGTACGGAGGGAAAAGTTAAAGATAATTTTTTAAGTAAAACATTTTTTATTTAAATTTGTTAATTTTACTAACGCAATCATGCTGATGTAAACAGCAAACCTTTTTCTGTTAAAAATACCATAGCATAAATTATAACCAACAGTCTGTACTTTCTTTGATATGAACGACTTGACGAAGGATGCATGAGCATTACAAAACAAAGCAAAATATAGCTACAAAGTAAAGTAGCACATAATTTCTAATTGAAAAATTCAGCCAGGATTAGAAGCGTCAAAGAAACTTAAATCCACAGTATCATATAAAACAGTTAAATCATTCCATAATTATTCTTGGATTATTATAAATTGCAGCTTATTTTCAAGAGGTAAATGTAACTAAGTTCAAAATACCAAGCAACATTAGAATTAAAGCTATAAAAAGGATTATATGTTTAAATTCTACGTTTTAAGTAAGAAAATATATGGTAATATTTAGAATTTAGACATTCCTAAATAGTATGAAACTTTTAAGTAAATTATAATGTTTTTAAACGTTTTCATTTAAGTAATGATGTAGTAATGTAACTTTCATATCTTTTCTTACAATACGTTTCGATAAATCATTTCAAATATACCAATTTTAAGAACATAACATTGTATCTTAATTGTCTGAGATTCAGCTTAGAATATTAACAGATATCCGGATTGATTTTCTTCAGTTTCATAGAGATGAAGGAATTCATCTGAAGTCACAAGCATCTAAATGCATATTCACATTAAGGTATTATAGAAATAGTCTAAATCTCAAACTACAAGTAAGACTATTATAAATATTACAGCTTAGATATCATGAAGTAAAATCCAAGCTAATTTCCTTAGAATTCATGAAGGCTTAAAGACAACATAGATTTATTTCTTAACTCACGTTCATTTCAAGATGTAATAGAAATTCTTGTTGACCTGATAAGTTTTTCAGCGTTTTTAAAGCCCACGGGGTTGTTTCACGCATTTTGCATTTAAAACGCAAAAGGGAACAATTTTTTTTCCATTTTCTTTAACATCAGCTTTAAGAAACACACATTTATAATAAAGAAAAATTCCAACTGAGAAAAAAATTTCGAAACGTTTTGCAGCCAGGTGATTTTGCATCGCAGGATCTTCAAAAGTAATAATTAACGCACTCTGTGGATTATTCTAAAATCATTCAAAGAATGCAATTCCTTGAATGAACACACCATTTAAAAACATCTTCCACCTAATTAGCTTAAAAATTTAATCGAAAAACCCCCACAGATTAAAATAGAAAATTAAAACCCTTAAAAATACGAAAGGAAAACGAACCAAAATTTCATTAGTATCAGGTTCAGAAAGATTATTAGATAAAATTAAAGAACAATCTAAAATTATGTGTCAAGTTCAGAATTCTCTGAAATGTATCGTTTTTTGAAAACATTAATTTAAAATATGATTAAAATCACAGTTTATATATATTCAGTTCTATTACTTAGATTCTTTATTTAAATCATAATTCAAAATGAATTTAGGAAGTGGAAAATTATTAGTTTTATAGAAAATAAAAAGAAATGAAAAATATGTCAAAAAATGTATGAGTAATTTGTTTTTATGCGCAAATTTCGAAATCCTACTCTAACAGGATACTCTATCCCGCACGTGATGTATATCTTACTCTCGGAGAAAACGCTCCGTGCGGCTCCTTTGCTTTTCTGAATGGCACAATATATCGACCGCTCGATTAATTTTCCCTTTCTCATGAACCAAGACGCAAGGTCACTATCAAACCATGAAGCTAATCAATTACCTTTGGTCCGCATGTCAGGAACAAGTTGTGCTTGCCCGATACCTTTCATGACGAACACCTGCCGTACGTCCGCGCACGACGTGCCGTTCTCCAGCGCGGCAGCGCCGCACAGCAAACACGCGAATATCACGCTCCCCAAAGACATCCTCCTCACCCTCTATGATATCCACATTCCTAGATCGTCCACACTAGATAGCGACACAGCAACTAAAGAAAGAGCTTCGACAGCACAGCAACGCCAAATGGAAACGGTCTAGCTCGGTCTGTGTATATCCAAACGGCAACCCTTACAGGGGCAAAGCCAAGTCTGGTTTATTCATTTGCGCATGCGCCACGATGATCCACAGAACCACACATCTGACAGTTTCGTAAAGCGCCATATTAAATTGTTGTTTTAACGTTCAAAATCATAAGGAATCTTATTCGTCTATTTTCAGCAATGTATACATCAAGGATGATTGCTGAAACAAATTCCATATGTGAAAGGTATTTAAAATTGTTAATTCTCACTTTTTTAATGCATAAAATGTCTTTTAATTGTTAGCATTGCATCACATTGAAATATGTTTCCTAGTATATTATGATTCGTAAACGATGGAAATTTAATAGTCGTTAAACGCTTTTTTAGCTAAATATACTTCAACTTGTAAAAAAAGTCCAAGCTATTCGAGGCTATTTCTATATTAAAGTTCTTTAAGTAAACCAGATTCATGTCTAATCTAGCAAAAAAACAGTAGAAATAAGTCTTCTTTATTTTGTGTGAAATTTCATTTGCCAAATCTCCCTTTTCGATGTAAGTTTTTTTCTTCACAAAGATATATTTTTATTTACTGTACAAAACTTTTGCATTATATGTTATTCAAACCTCATTAAAAACCTATTTTAAGGAATAATGTTGTGCATTTTTTATTTTGTATTATATGTGTGTTTTACTGTCTTGGTTTTCTCTAGAAAGGACATGATTTTTTTAATCTAATTAACTTTTTTCCTGGGATAGAACTTTTATTTCTAAACCAGTGTTAAATTTCCATATTTAACTTGGTATTTCCATTTAATGTTTAAAACTTTTCAGGTTATGTTATTCGAAGCTATTTCTTAACAGATTGAGGAATATGTTATGCAGTAAATATATATGTTCAAGATTTTCTTTGAAAGGCCTAGATCAGGGGTTCTCAACCGTACGCAAAGAAGCAAAGTATTTTTAACTATTAAATTCAAAAATTAAAATCCCCAACATCCTGATTGATTTTTTTCTCTGACACTCGTAAATTTATGCGATCGGAACTTTGTTCAAGAGTGGTGGTGGTAGTAGTACTTTCTAGTGGTGGTACTAAAGGTTTTCAATTTACATGGTACGCGTTAGTTAAAAGGTTGAGAACCGCTGGCCTAGATGGTACTACATTTTTAGTACAGAAATAAATTACCTACATAAATCTGTTGTCATGATATTATCTACATAAATCTGACGTCACTTTTTGTGAAGGAGGGACAATTTATAAACCATTTGTCAAATATCTATATTTTTACTGGGATCATGATTTTTAATTACTTTAATAAGATGATTTAAGTTATTTTTCAGGCTGGAAAGTCTTTCACTAAAAGCATTTGCTTGTTGTGCGGCCTGCAATGGCAATTTGTGGGACTTCCCCAAAAATATTTTTTAGGTTTCCCAAACATGCAGAAAGGTAGGAGGGACAATTTATAAACCATTTACCAAATATCTATATTTTTACTGGGATCATGATTTTTAATTACTTTAATAAGGTGATTTAAGTTATTTTTCAGGCTGGAAAGTCTTTCACTAAAAGCATTTGCTTGCTTTTAGTGAAAGACTTCAATGGCAATTCGTGGGACTTCCCCAAAAATATTTTTTAGGTTTCCCAAACATGCAGAAAGGTAAAACCCAATTTTTTATTTAATCCTGATACTCATGAAATATACTAGAATATGTACAGTTGACAGTTCTTTATTAAAGTGGCAACTGTGACCAAATTAGCAGACACAATTGTTAAATTTGTAACATGCAACTTTTGATTTGCTAAGCTGTGTCTGCTTTAATAAGGAAGTAACATATACTGCATACACAGCAGGTTTTTTTTTTTTTTTTTTTTTTTTTTTTTTTTTTTTTTTTTTTAATTAGATAATTAGAATCTAGTGTAGAATTGGGTGTCCCTTCAATTAGTGAATTTTTTTTTTTAATTTTTGGCGATGAAACCTCACTTCTGGTTACCATGATAGTTATAACTTTGTTTTAGCTTCCTGATTTTATTTAAATGAAAATAGACTGATGTGTACATGCATAAATTTAAGGCAGTGCACAATGCCTATTTTGTACAATTTTAAAATGTTTTTTTAAGTGAAAACTGATGTGTACATGGACACAGAGTTTGTGCAATTCTTTGACTTCTTATTTTGGTTTTGTGTAGTGGCCATCTTGAAATTGTGCCATCTTGGCGTCAAAAAAGAATCGCCAAGAAACAAGGAGCACCCAATTGTAAACTTTTACCGATAATTATTTTGTTTCAATTTTAAATTTAGTAATTCATTGACATATGCTATCTCGACTTATGATTTTGCAGCTTCTTATTTTATTTTGCATATTTATGCTTATAGATAATTTGTGTTTTAAACTGTCTGTAATTCAGAAAATATTGACAAACAAAAGATTACTTTGCCTTTATACTAGAATTAGCTTTAATGAAATAAGAAGTATGAAAGTGTAATAATTTATGTTAATTGCTTGAAAACTCTTCAAAAGCTGCACTTGAATTATAATTATGTTTGCAGATAATGCAAGGGTTCTATGTTTATATACACAGTCCGGTTACTTTTTCATATTTTGCTGCAGAAAACGTGAAAAGCACAGTTTGATGTTCTTTATTTCTTTTTTCCCCCATCAGGAGAGATTTTTAAGTCTTATGAAATCATCAGCATTAGAATAACTACATTTTTTGTAGTATATTCATTTTAATATGCTATTTTGTATTGATGTGTAATATGAAAACAAAATTCTGAATTCTTCCTCATTAGTAATTAATATTTTTATTAAGTTTCTTTTTTAAATCTTCTTATTGCTTCCTTATCTTGCCAAAAAGATTGTCTGCATGGGAGTTATGAAAACTCATAGTTTTCTCTGTGGTATATGAGCCTTAAAAATATCTTAAAAGTCGTCTGCAAAGGCATTCCCTCTAAATGGATAACTTTTGTGCTGCAATCCTAATAACCCAGTCTAATCCATGTTTCTATTTACAGGATGATTCAAAAGTGCATTAACATTTGAAAATTCAGTAACTCATTAAATAATATAGGTAGAGTAGTAAAAACTGACACATGCTTGAAATGTCTTGGTGTTTTATTGAAAGCAATAAAAGTGCTTAAAACAACTGACAGATGGCACTTCATATGATAGCAAAAGCAGTAATTAGCATAACAATTGATTTTTAGCAAGACTATGTTCTTTATAATAGATGTTTAACATGTCAGCTGTCAGTCATCAACAATACGTATAGTTGAGGCACAATGTTGTGTACAGCATATCTGTAGGTATGGTGAAAAACTGCCGTCAGATGTTATCTTTTAGCACCCCTAGTGAGGTCAGACAATCACAGTAGACTTGCGATCTGGGGACCTGAGAGGCCAAGCATAATGGAAGTGGCGGCTCAGCACACGATGTGTGGGAGATCTTTTACACGTGTAGCAATATGGGGTGGAACGCCATCCTGCATAAAAGTTATACCTTCCGACAGGTGCTTATCAGCCAGACTAGGAATGATGTGATTCTGTAACTTGTTTGTGTACCTCACATCCGTCACACTGACAGTTTCAATTGCTGAACCAAGCATTTCCTCAAAGAAAAAGGGTCCGATCATGATTAATATAGTAAATCCATATCACACTGTGACCAACACCCGGAGACAAGGATAGAAAAGTGACCAAATAATGAATGGACTGATTCTCTCTCCACTACAGCTCATTTCATACATGATTCTCATGTGGCGTAGCTGACATTTTGCTGCCCACCACCATATGTTGGCCTTTTCTGCATTTTTTTTTTTTATATTCTTTCACTCAAAAAAAAAAAAAAAAAAATCAGAGAATTACACAAACTTGCCATTGCACATTCCCTTGACTTTGTCCATGTATATATTGATCTATTTTCACTTAAAAAGTCAAAGGAGCAGCCAACAAAAAATATATAATCTCGATAAACTACGTTTTAAATCAAACGATCAAATAACATAAAGAATGACATTCATCTTAGCACTACACAAAAGAAATATCCACTTATCTTATTTAGAAATTTGCCTGTCTTCAGTCAAACAAAATTCCTTAACATCATCTAAAAACTTTGTAAAATTGTCTGAACTAGAATCTTTATACTGGCGTCGCCACGTAAATTCATAAAGATAAGTATAAGAAATATCCTCCGTAGTATCGGTATCCTCCAACATTCAACCATATGCATTTTCTGCTACAAACAGGACACTTATAATGGTGACTATACACCACTTAATTAATGCTCTTTTTCCCTTTCATTCCAAATCGGACAGCCACATTCAGCCATTTTATCGTCTAAACCACAAAACAAGCAACGAACTTCCTAACCAACACACACACCACAAGCCTGTACAAATGTTTTCCCATTATTTAAAATTCACCGCAATTACTTAACCAATTATGTCATAATAAGGTTTCAATACCATTCCAATACTCAGGCTACCATAAATGAAACAACTTGAAAACAAATAAAACAACTGTATTAACAATGGGCACCCTTAAATCTACTCTAACCCCCATGTCATTTCATACATGTGTGTCACTTTTTACCTCTCTATCTACATTATTTTATGAACTATTGAATTTTCAAATGGATTTTCGGGTCACCCTGTATATTTACGTTATTGTCATTTTAAGTGAATTCAGAGGGATTACTGTGCAATTTTATGATAATTATGTGAAAGATATTCAGAATTATTTAAGTAAAAGAACATTTATTTATTTGAAGAATTCAAATGCATTATCTCAAATCATTATAAGGTTACTTTAGTGAATTTTTCTAAAGAAGATTAAATGATTTATATTAAATATATCAAGTTAAATATTAAGCTTTAGTTAAAAATAGCATTTTTAAAGTTATTTTTTCGATACACCCTTTGACTTTTTTTTTTTTTTTTAGATCAATACAATGGGTCGATGCTTACAGCAGGTTTTTAATTGGACAGGGCAGAGATCTGTTGAAGAAAT